GAGTGTATGTGTATATATAGTGCTTAATAGTGCCTGTGGCATGGTGAGCATAATGTATCAGTTATTACTATTCTTAACTTCCGTGGGAATCAGTCATTGCAGCACGCTATCCTAATTTCAGTAGCTGCTACATCCTGTAATCATACCACCAGCATGATTACAGTTTTGAGGACAAACCCTGTGATTGGGGAGGGAGAGCTAAGGAAGTTTAGAGTTGACCAGCTCTCACCCTGCTCCCTAAGTTCTTAGAGACCAAAGCTTCGTCTTTTAAATCCGTAACCTCCTGCCCAGCTGCTGTGGCTCAGTGGATTGAGCATGTCCCACAGACTGAGCGGTCCTGGTTCAATTCCGCGTTTCAGGCTTGATCCCCAGGAGGAGGCGTGCAGGAGGCAGCTGATCGATGTTTCTCTCCCACATCGATGTTTCTATCTCTTTCCCTTCCTCTCTCTAAAAAAAATCAATAAAAGCATATTAAAAAAAATAAATTCGTAAAACCCCTTTCATGAGCAATTTTCCCCCAAATCAATGGAATTGTTTTTGTTCCCAAAGGTCTGCTACTTCCTCAATCCTGAGTTGGCGTTTTCAAAAAAAGCCAAAGGCTTGGATTGGGGATTTCCGAGCAGGCTTTGCATGCATGTTGTTATTCCACATGGCATTTGTCTAGGAGCTGCCTGGTGTTCCTCGGTGACTGGGTGCCTGTTTTCCATGATTGCACTGTTGTTCGATGTAAATGTCTCAGTGCCCTGGCAGCCACCTCATTCTTGCTTCTTTCTGGGGCATCCACAGACAGTCCCAGGACCGCCCTCTGAGCTTCCTCCGCAGGTCCAAAGGTGGCTTTCCTGCAGAGCGCCTTCACGCTAACCTCACCCCTTACATTTGGGACCCCGGAGCCCCTGTTTATACATCATTTGCCCAGATGATTCTCTGGAGGTGAAGCAAACATCGAAGTGACACCAAGGAGAGCGAGGGAGAGGTATCTATAGGAGGAGCGTGATGTATGTGTGCCTCAGTGGGGCCATCTTTGGGGAGTTTGAATGCCCACCTCAGTACACGATGGGGCAATGAGTGTTGAAGTCACTTCCTCAGTGTCGCATGTAATCTCCCACGTGGATGTGGTCCTGGGAGACGAGCTTCAGTGGTGGCTCCCCCTGCTGCTGGTGGCCATGCTGTCCACACCAGTATCAAGCCACACAGTCCCAGGGGTCTGCGGGCATGTTTTTGTATGGGATGGAAATTAGACATACTGCATTTTTAGTGCCCATAAGATCTGTTTGGACTTAAATGACCCTTTATAGGGTAATGTTTTCCTACATTTGTCTATGTAGCTTAAGTTTCCCTCAGCTGTGATACTCTGTGAACCTTAGCTTCAGATGTGTCCATAGAGATGTGTGGATACACACAGGTAGCTAGTCACTCATCATGTAAATATAACTATGGACGGGGGTGGCGGGGGGTGGCATCATGCTGTGTGCTTTAAGCTGGCTCATACAGGTTGATGGGCTTTAAGTGTGTGGAAATCTACATTGAACCCCAATTTATCTTTCATGTGGCTCTGATTTTTAAAAGAACCCTCAACCATGATTTTTCAAATAGCAAATGTTCTCTGAGAGCCTTAGATTTAAATTTTAAACCACATCTTTCCGTGGGTCTGGGCTCATGGCTCATCTGAAGGGCAGTGATGTTTTTCTGATGTGCTAGTTAACTCCAGCCCATTCATTCAACACCCATGTATTGAGTAAGCCCCGGGGTTCCCCAATTATGTCAGAAAAAAGGCTGAAAACCAAAGGATCAGAGGGGTTTAGGGCAGAGAGATCCTTCCTAGCTAGGATAATCAAGGAACACTGCCCCTGACACGGTCTGAGGGAGGACTTTCCCAGCAAGGAAACTGCATAGATAAAGGCAGAGATGGGATGGTGAACAGATTGGGATTGTGAATCCTCCCATCAGGCTCAGGAACCAGGGACACAGAGGAAGTAGGCAGACACGGGGCTGGAAAAGTGGCTTAGAACTAGGTGAAGAGAGGCAAGGACAGCAGGCTGAGCGGTTGGACTTCCGTGCTCCCTCTGAGGGGGCCGGCTCCCTAAAGGTCCTTGAGGGACTTTGCGGTCAGTGAAGTGCTGAGGACCGTGCACCTGAACACACTGTGCAGGGCGTTGGAGGAGAAATCACAGTTGCCTAAGGGGAAGGGGTTAGGTTCAAAGTGGGCTTTCTAGGACGGATTGGGAGGGTCTGGGGCAGAGTGGATGGGAGAGGGCAGAGTCAAGGGTGACTGAGAGAACTGAGAAAGAGCAGAGGGGAGGAGCCAGGGAAGGAAGAGGCAGAGAGCCAGGGGAGGTGGTTTGTCTCATGAGCCCCAGTGGCCCCTCCCCTGCTGCCTGACCCTGTGGCTGTGACAGTGTGCAGGGTAGAAGAGCCAGGCTTGTAGATGGGGGGTGAGCACCTTGTCTGGTGTGGTGCCTTCTGCTGAATAATCCATTCACATGAGCTCAGTTAGTCCTCAGGAGGACCCGGTGAGCTGGATAGTATAACTAGATAGTATTATCTTCCTTTCGTAGATGAGGAAACAGGCACAACTGAAAGGTTCTGACCTTAAGGCCTGAGCCCTGAGCCACTGTGTGAAATAAAGTGATGAGGTCTCCGAGGAATGTTGAGGTGGAAAGGAGGAAAGATGAGGGGTTCATTTAAAAATGAATGACATGCACCCGGCCGGTGTGGCTCAGTGGTTGAGTGTTGACCATACACCAAGAGGTCACCGGTTGGATTCCTGTTCAGGGCACAAGCCCAGGTTGTGGGCCCGATCCCCAGGGGGCATGCAGGAGGTGGCCATCGATGTTCTCTCTCATCAATGTTTCTCTCTCTCTCCTTCTCCCTTCCTCTCTCTCTAAAACCAATAAAGAAAAAAATAAAATAAAATAAATGACATGGGTGTAGGTCATTAGAAGACCAAATTTGAAGTAAGCCTTTAAGCCAGCGGTTTTCAACCTGTGGGTCGCGACCCCTTTGGGGTCACCTAAGACCATCGGAAATATGTGAGGGTCTCTGCTGCAGGGAAAGAGGACATTTTTGACCCTCAGTGACAGGGAGGCAGTTCCTAGGAGCCCTGAAATCCCAGAGAACATCCCAGCTCTGACATGGTGACTATGCCTAGGGGAAATGAATGATGCAATAGGGGCCCTGACCTGGGGCTGAGGGTGAGCTCGTATTTCTCTGAATAGCAGGTTTTTAAAAAGCAGGTGCCTGTACTAATATATAATGATTTCTAGTACTAGGAACTAACCAATCAGACACAACCTTATTATGTGACATGATCAATAAGATGCAACTTTATTATATAACCTATATTTGTTTATATGTATGGCTCAAGACAAGGCATTCACACTGGACGGCTGTTGTGTTGGATGTTGTCTTTTTTTTTTTTTTTAATTTGACTGTCTAAGGGAAAAGAGGTCAGTGCCCCTTACTAAATAGTCAGGTGTTGCAAGTTTTAAAAATTCTTCCTGCACACAAGTATGCCATGGAAAAGAGGAACTTTCAAATTATAACATTCTATAGTTTCAACACACAAGTATAACTATTTGTGTTATCTTTAAAAAATGTTTTTATTGATTTTAGAGACAGGAAGGGAGAGGGAGAGAGAGAGGGAGAATCCCCAGCCTGGGCATGTGCCCTGACCAGGGATCAAACCTGCAGCTGACTGAGCCACAGCAGCCAGGGCTGTGCTGTCTCTTAATCTTTGTTTAAAATCTCTCCCTGCCCCACTAGATTATAAAGGTCCTTGAAGGCAGGAACTCTGCCACATACCTCTTGGTACCTCCCAATATATCTAGCAGAAAGCTTTTCACATAGGAGATGCTTTAAAGATCTGTTTGATTTGTTGATTATAGATTGGCAGACATTGGAAGAACCCTACACTGGGCCCATAGATGTTGACTTCTGTGAATATTCCAGAGCTGGAACCACTAGGGACCATCCTGAGTGGCTATAATTTACAGGCTGGAAAACCAGTCAAGATGGTCAGCAGATGGGCAGCTGATGATTGGCATTATAGTGAGGAATGAAAGCAAATTGCTTCTCTCCCTACAAGCACCTTAAGACCTCATGTATCTTAAAGTGGAATCTAAAGACAATGGACTTACTTATCTTCCTTCACTCTTGGAACTTGAAGCTCACCTGAGTTCTCGGGCTGTTTTCAGTTTCTGCTTTGGTATTACATGTGGCAGAGGGCCTTGGGAGTTGTGACACAGCTAGTCACTCCTGAATCAAGGCATTTCTGACCTCGGAAACACCCAAGTCACATTATCTGGCAGGTTACTAGAATTTGAACTTCAAGGCAGATATGAGATGTTTTAACTTGTTGGGGTGTGTGTGTGTGTGTGTGTGTGTGTGTGTGTGTGTGTGCATGTGTGTGGGTTCGTAGGTAGCTTGCCCATATTTTGTGTATAATTGCATGCAGTTGAGTATGACTTTATAGTACAGATGCCTTGTCAGTTGCTAAGTTATTTATACAATGAACCTAAGCTTTCATGTTTGTAAATGGGGTAATAACTTTAGGCTTCTGAGTCTTACTGAGTGCAAGTTCCTGGGCTTATAGGGTGTAGAAGTTTCCAACTTTCCCCCAGCTGGTCTCTGAGCTCCTGGTTAACAGATTCCGTGAAATTAAGATTTTAAGTGACACAAGACAAGTTCACATTGTTTTACTGTACCATAGAGATGGGAGTATAGGAACCATTGCTCATTAGTGTGCAGCTGGAGAAGAGCCAGCCTGCATCGAGAACCCCAGCTTTAATTTTTTTCAATAGGTATTGATGGCGAGGGTGGTCAGGGGTGTGTGTGAATTGAGCTGTCAATAAAAAAGCTCTCAATGGCATCTTGAGGAGGAAACGGTCCCTACTTATGTTTTAAGAAAGACTGGTATTGATTCTTATTAGGAGTCTTTTTAAATTTGTGCCATCACCTCTTGGCCACTGGTAACTATAATTGATTGTCTCTGTCTTCCGTAGCTTGGAATTGCGATTGGGTTCTTGGTCCCTCCCGTTTTGGTACCCAACATCGAAGACAAGGATAAGCTTGCCTACCACATCAGCATCATGTTCTACATAATAGGAGGTATTGCCACTCTGCTGTTCATCCTTGTCATCTTTGGTAAGTTCAATAGTAGACTGTTGGGGTGTGGGGAGGCAGGGGGGTTCTGCTGGTTTTGTGGGGCCCTTGTGCACAGGCCCTGGAATATGGTGGACATTTACGGAAACTGGAGGTCAGGCTTCTAATGGTTTACAAATGCCTTAGTCTGAGCAGTTGCCCCCAATACAGTGCTAGCTGGTCTTGTCCACTTTGTTAGTGGCTCAGCAAAGGTAAAATTGTAATTAAACCATTCCCTAATATGACCTCACCAGAATTAACGGTCAGGCTGCAGATCCCCTTGAGAAAACCCCATGAGTAATTATGATAGCACAGGCACTGTACTGTTCATGCCTGATCTCCTGTAACCCTCAACAACCCTGTGAGCAAAGGTAACATTATCAGTCCCATTTAACAAAGAGGAAGACTTAAGGGAGTTAAATAAATTATTCAAGTGGCAGAGATTGGATTTAAGCCTAAATTTATCTCATGCCATACTCTAAATTTCTGGAACAAAACAAAACAGAATTAACCCACAAACACTAATAATCTCATAGTTTCACCAGAGAATACCTGGGTACCACATTTTTAATGCTTTTCTTTAAAAAATTGTAAGAGTAATATTAGTTCATTATGGAAAAATCTAGAAAATAAAAAAAATAATAATAATAAAGAAAAGAATAACCATTAATTTAGCCTTGTATGAGTTAATCCCAACCTCAGATAATTGCAGGTTCATTTTATATGCAGGTATATTTAATCACTGAGATAGTTGGTTAATATAATTAAAAAATTTTTTTATATATAAGTTTTAGGTGTACAGTATTCTAATACAACATCTGTATACACTTTAAAGTGATTACCACAAGTGTAAATGCCATTCATCACCATGCAATTGATGGATAATATAATTTTATATCCTCTTTTGTAATCTGGGTGATAAATTCAGAAACAGCAGAGTAAAGGTTTTCATTTCCAATTAGTCACCAGTCTAAAGGTTAACCAGTTTTCTTCCTAATATCTGAAAGTTTCAGTCACTCGTGTGAAAGGTTTCATTCCTTCCTACTGGCCTCACCTCCAGAGCTAAACAGTTTTATAATCATTTACCTCAGTCAACTGTTGCCCTGGTGTCATTTCCTCCCCTGGGCCCAAGCTGCGAAAGGGCTGCCTGGTGGCTTCTGAGAGCTGGCAGGATGTCTTAGACAGAGCACTTGGTGTTCCTGGAAAGGTGAGAAGAGAGAGTTGTGGGTGAGAGCAGGAAAGAACAGTCCAGTCAGGGACCCTCTTACTCAGCCAGACTTGAAGTTTCAAATTGTAATGTGCCCTGCTCCAAATTTTTGTGTTTGTAGCAGGTGAGGGCCTGGTTCTTTGCAGTTGAAACCATGGAGGTAGGACACTTGTACATTTTGGCATTTTATTATCAAGCACAGATAGTAGCTCACTGAGAGAAGAGCTAAAAGACCTTATCTGAATTCTGGCTTGTGGTTGCCAAATCCTTGAGCAAGCACCGGCTGTTGCAGAGATGAGTCCCTTGCCTTGCTTTCTTTTCCCGATGGAAGGGGAGGGAACAGGCAAGACAGTGGATGAGAGGTTCCCACCAGCAGGAACTTATCCAAGACTACGTCCAGAAAAGAGAGAAGCAGGGCTCTGAAGTCAGGGCTAGAGGGTTTTTCAAAAGGTCAGGGTGGGGAGAGGGGAGACTTTGATCTTTAAGACATTAAACCTCATTTCCAGAGCTTCCTTTAACTAGAGAAGGAGAGTTCTCCTAGGGGGAGGGGGGGGCCACGTAGTGCCTGCTTGGACCTAACTGGGGAACCAGGTCAGCCAAAAAACTGGTTAAACTGATCTGCCTTTCAGAGAAATGAATAGTAATTAGTGCAGTTAAATTGATTGTACCAGCTGTACTGAAAATAGAATATAAAATGAATGGTTTTCCCGTAGCCCCTCCCAGCCCTTCCTATCAGAGTAGCCACTCACGCCGAGGCTGTGTTAACCCTCTGGTATCTGTGAGGAGGATGTCTGATGCAGACTCCGAAAGACTAGGAGTGGACTGGGGGTTTTTCTAATAGAAGATCCTTTCGCTTGCTCAGGAATATTTACTGACTGCATGTGCCAGGCTCTGTGCTAAGCACAGGCAACACTGTACTTTCCCCCTTGGGAGGGGTTCTGTTGCTCAGCCATTAGCTGGACTCACTAATCCTCAAGCTCCACCTCTCACCTCCTTTCTATCCATGTGCGACTATTGTGTTTTTTTTCAGTGCTCTGCTGTGTGTTTTTCACTGGTTATCATGGGACTCCTTGATACTTGGACGCTGCCCCAATGACTGCACCTATCCAGAAGCCATTAAGAAAAGATAATCAGTAGACCACACACTAATAGACAATGAAAAGCAGCTTCCAGAGAGGAAGCTGTAAAGGATTTAATTGAAGAACTAATATTTCCTTATGAGTTTTAGCTCCTTCTCAGGCGATGGAGCCAGCTTCTCCCCCTGTGTAAGGATGCTGGGATGTAACCACGGGGATGTTCAGTGATGTCTCTGTTTCTTTCCTTTCAGTATTCAAGGAGAAGCCTAAATATGCCCCCAGCAGGGCCCAGTCCCTGAGCTATTCCTTAGCACAGAGCGTACCTGATACTTCGTACTTAAATGTCATCGTCCGGCTCTTCAAAAACCTCAACTTTGTGCTGCTTGTCATCACCTACGGTAAGGTGCAGATGTGCCCAGGGGAGTACTTGAACTGGGAATCGGAGACAAGATGCCTGATGTGTCTGTGCATCTTAATTTTTTCCAAATCCCAAATGTGCATGTAAAATAATTGTTTGGGGTCAACCAGAAGAGTCAGCTCTGTCTCAGGGACTTTGCAGGTTCTGTCAAGTCCACCCAGAAAATCATTCCTTCCCATTTCAGGTCCCAGTTTTATTTCAGCGTCACTGCTGTGAAGCAGTATTAGGTGATCTTTCCTCTCTTATTGTGCTGTTGCATTTCCAGGTCTGCCTTCTCATACACAGTGACCTCCCTGAGAGCGGGGACTTATGTCTTTTCATCTTTGTAGTTTTGTCTTTTCCTTATCGGCAGCGGCTTGCCTGGAGTGGATACTCCTGTATTTATCGAGTGAATGAAGGAAGCTTAATAAATGAATGCATGCATGCATAAATGAGTCTTGCCATATAGATCACTCCTTCATCTCGTTACATGTACCTTTTTGAAAAATCTGAATGTAAGACAATATCCCTCTTTCATTTCATTGTGTTGGCTTTGGTAAGATACATTTTAACCTTTATGCTGGTGTATTGGCTTGCCTCTCCAGCATGGTGTTTTCTGTATCTTCCTTCCAACCTTTAGTAGGAACGTTAGACCAGACTAGGGTAGAGTCATGGCATTCCATTAGAATGTGTGTGCTGTGCACCCTACATTTGACCATTGAACCCACTAGCTAGTTAAAAATCAAGAGTCAACAAGTGTGTAGCATGCTCAGTAACTATATAAATATAAAAAGTGAGATTGGGCCCTGGTTGTGGTCATGCGGGAGGCAGCCACTCGATGTGTCCCTTTCATGTCGATGTCTCTCTCTCTCTCTCTCTTCCTCTCTCTCCCACTCTATCTGAACAAAAATGGGGAAAAAAGTCCTTGAGTGAGAATAAGAAAAAAAAAGTGAGATTGGTTTAACATGATTTGTTCTTGGTGAAACCTCAGTTGGCTGTAACCTTATGTTCTCTATAGGTTCATAATCCATGTGTCTTATAACAACAATAGCATTTACTATGTGCCAAGACTTTTCACATATGCTTTTACCTAACTTCCTCCACACCCATGTTATGTAGGTACTACAGCTATCCCCATTTAACATACGGGGAAACTGAAACTCAGAGACATTAGGTAACTAGCTCAAGATCACACAGCTTGTAAGTGCCAGGATTCAGATACAAGTTTGTCTAACTGCAGCATCTGCACTTTTGATGCCTGTTACCTAATTGCCTATGGTCTTTCTTAAAATTATGTCATAGTTTCGTTTTAGGCTTAATTAATAAGTTAATTAAAGTGTTTATCTACTGAGGCATTGATAAGAGGTGGCATCATCCACGGGTAGAAAGAGGCATGCCTACATTTTCAGGCATACACAATAATCAGGTGACCTCTCATCTGGAATAGCTCTAGGTAACTAGGTTGGTCTTCAAGGTCTCAGGTCACCATTCCTCATTCTCTCTGAGCTTCTCAGTTCTTAGTATACCTCTGCATTCATCCACAATAATAAGGTGGCTCATATGGGTTGATGGGCAAAGCAGTTCACTTCCGAGTCTCTGGAAGTATCAGACTCTGTTGTACATAGATAGAATTTTTTTTTTTTTTATCCTCACCCGAGGACATTTTTCGATATTTTGTTCAGATAGAGTGAGAGGGAGAGAGAGAGAGAGAGAGAAACATCGACGTGAGAGCGACACATCGAGTGGTTGCCACCCACATGACCCAACCAGGGCTGGGGACAAACTGCAACCAAGGCACGTGCCCCTGGCGGGAACCGAACCCAGGTCTCTCCGGACCGCAGGCCAATGCTTTAACCGCTGAGCCAAACCGGCCAGGGCCATAGATAGAATTTTTAACATTTTTCTCAAAGGCCTGGGGTTATCTCAGTGAGAGTGAGTTAAACTAATCCGGATGTTTATGCTCATTTCAGAGAACCACAAGCCTAATTTCCATGGTAGAGAATTGGACTTGGAGACAAGGCTCTTTGCCAACAAGGAAATGATCCTTAGGCTTAATCACAGATTTGAAAAAAAATTTATTGAGCCATTACTATGTGTCAGGCACAATGTTAAGGGCTTTACATGCATTATCTCTTATAATCTTCGAAACAAACCCGTGACTAGGTCCTTAAGTCTGTTCTATTTTATACCTGAGCAAACTGGGGTCAAGAGTATAAAATCCTTGTGATTCCCTGCAGTTTTGCTGAGGTCATGCTGGCCCTTTAAAACAAGGGTTTAGCCCTGGCTGAGGTGGCTCAGTTGGTTGGACGGTCACCCCTTGCCCTGAGCGGTTGCTAGCTCAATCTCAGGTCAGGGCACATGCCTGGGTTCCGGGCTCAGTCCTTGGTGGGGAGTGTGCAGGAGGCAGCTGATGGACGTTTCACTTCCACATCAATGCTTCTCTCTCTCTCCCTTCCTCTCTCTTTCAATAAATAAATAAATAAATCAATAAAATAAATAAATAAAATAAATAAAACAAGGCTTTAGCCCTGACCAGACAGGGCAGTTGGTTAGGGCCTCATCTCGAAACGCCAAGGTTGCAGGTTCCTTCTCTGGTCAGGGCACATACAAGAAGCAACCAATGCATGCATAAATAAGAACAACAACAAATCGATGTTTCTCTTTCTCTCTCCCGCCCTCACCCTCTCCTTTTCTCTCTCCCTCTCTAAAAATCAACTCCCTCCCCCAAAACAACGAGTGTTTGCTACAAGTTCAGGAAGGACAAAAGGGAAATGAACACAGTAACCAGAACACAGAGCCAGGCTCTGGGATCAGTGTTTCCCAGGCCTAATGATAGAATTCCCTGGGCTGCTCAGTTGCCTGTGCCTCTCTTCTGGAAATTCAAATTCAGAATTTGAGTTTCTGGGTCTGCCCCTGGAAATCTGCTTTTAACAAGCATTCTAGGTGATTTGGGTTTGCAGCACAGTCGAGAGCCTCTACAGCAGGTACATTGTGGGTCATTCTCATGGTCTGGAAGCCCTTTCCCACCCCAGCTGCCTCCATGTTAAGCCCACACCTGGAGCCTGGGCCCGGTCATTGAGCTCCAGTATTCCCAAAGCCCTTTGTTTCCAAACTCCAGAGAGTTTAAGACATGTCCAGGGTTTTTTGTTTGTGTCTTTTTTGTTAAAGTGCAGATGTCTAGCCCCTTTCCAGGAGATTCAGATAGAGTAGGTCCAGGGCAGAGCCCAGGAGTCTGCATTTTTTAACTCTAAGAACTTCTAATATGAGTGGTGTCTGGACCACAGTTGGGAAAACTGCCCTTGACAAAGGAGAGACTCAGAGTGATGACGGGTCCTTTCTGCCTTCCTAAAGCCCACCTCCTTCGTGACTGGTACTTCCTCTGGGGAATGACACCGGGAATGACCAGGTCTTTCAGGGGAGATCCCATTTTCTCACAGCAGTGTGGCCCTGACCCCGCAGGCTTAACTTGCTGGGGCGCAGTAACCTGAGCCCCTGTAAAGAGGTACTCACACCCAGGGCAGAGCCGGTTTCATTCCTCCCCCTCTGGTGGGATGCCAAAACCCTTGGCCTGGGGGTGGAGTGGACTTGTGCTGTTTAACTATGTCTGGTAACCTTCAACAACATGGAGAGGAACATCTAGACTAAAGATTGATTCAGAAACCACACATAAGTTCCTGATTCCTAATTCTTGTAGCAACAATTGGAAAGAATGGCAGCCTTCCAGGGTGAGCCTCTGCACTGCCCCATACCCCCGCCTCCACCTCTGCCTTACCCCTGCTTCAGTCTCCTGGCTTTCTGGAAGTGGGGGATGGCTGTAGATAAACCAGACAGTCTAGCTGAGCCAGTGGCTCTCAGACTTGAGCACTATCAGAAGTACCTCGTTGACACGCAGATTACAGAATTCCCAGAGTTCTGCTGCAGGTCTGAGGAGGTGTCAGGAATTTGCATTTCTAACAAGCTCCCAGGTGGTGCTGATTTCGCTAAACCACTGAGTCCCCATGAAAGTACTCAGCTTCGGTTGTGTGGGTACACCAGCTCTGGACCGCTTCCCTCTGCCAGAATCATTCCTTCTCCAGAATCACGAAGTGCTGGTATTGAGGCAGGTTTTTTGCTCCCAGTGCTTCTGTCACCGGATTGTCCGGGCATGGTCCAGGTCCTCCAGGCTCTTACTTGCGCAGGAAAGAATTCAAGAACAAGTCCAAGTGAGAGCAAAAGCAAGTTTTATTTAGGTAGAGAAAAAGAGGCTAGGGCATGGGGTCCTGGAGACAGGATCAGGGGGTGAGCCCTGGAGGAGCTGCTGCTGTCCACTGCTCCCCTAGCCACTGTAAAGAAGTGAAAGTACATGTCCGAGTGGAGTTGCTCGCTGGGCCAGTCAGTCCTTGGGATTTTATGCTTCCAAGGTGGAGTTGTTTCTGCCCTTTGTGGTGCCAAATTCTGACTCTGCCTTTAGGTTGGGAGGTGGGCATAGGGTCTTGTTACTAATATGGTTTGTTCAGAAGTGTCATAGCATTGGTGGTGCCAAGTTCTGTCTCCACCTTCTGGTTGGGAGGGAGTCTTGTTCCTAATATGGTCTGTCCCAGAAGTGTCATTGATTTTTGTCTTCCTTGGACCCCCTTGTACTTGTGCTGTCAGTTTTCATTATAATGATGGTATAATGAGCTTTGGGGCCTTTCTCTGGTCAGTTTTTCCTCCATCTTGGGTTGATCTGGTTTTAGCCAGTCCATGTTGTTGACTTCTGCGACCACCACAAGAGTTTCCTACCATCAAGGACTCCCTTTGATCACGCCTGGAGGTGGGCGCTCTGGTGAGAGGACCTAGTGGCTTATGGGCCTGTGATGTCGGCTTCTGCTTCCTCGTTTCACTTGTTGGGAGCTTTCCCTAACCTCTTTCTATCCTGCCTCACTCCTGGATAATTTCCCTCTGTTTCCTGTGGCTTTTCCCATCCTTCTTCATTCCATTTGGACCCAAATCGAGAATAGCCATCTCATCTGAAGCTGAGCATGACTCGGAGCATTTCCTTGCCCTTTGCAGTGTGAGGCTCAGGCCAGAGGCTGAGAGGGCGGAGAGAGGTGTGAGGGCAGGACTGGGGCTGCTTTCGTTCTCCCCCTGCCCACGCTTCACCCCACCACCCCTTTCAGGAATGTGTCTCTTGTGAGCCCCTTGACTCAAGAATGGAATTTCCAAGTGGCTGGGTATGTGGTTTAAAATTAGTTGGCTATGCTTGTTGCATAAGAAGTTGCTGAAGACCCCAGAGTTGTGGACAACAAAGGGGTTCTATGGAAAGTAATCTCACAGGGTGATCTGATCTTAAATTCCGAACTGGGTAGGTCAGGATGGGTAGTCATGCCTCAAGCATATAACTTCTTTAGTAAAGGCTTATCTTTGCCTTAAGCAAACCCGGCCCATGTTTCTGTGCATTTAAGTCAACATCCCTTTGAAAAAAATGCCCCCTTTCAGACTGCTCCTCCTAATACCTAACCAGCCTTTCAGACCTCTCTTTCTAAAGTGGATGGCCCTCGAGAGAGCACATAATCTTAACTATCCTGTAATCCAATAATCTTGCTTTCTCGGTAATCTTCCTTATCTCAAATACATAAAAGAAACTACAAACTGTTCTTAAGCATTTTTCTCAGTTTGTTGAGATCTTGCTTCCAGGCGTGTTCTCTGTTTGATTCAAATAAAGTTTTACAAATATTCTCAACAGGTTTGGGTCTTATGTTGACAAAGTCCTAATGACCATGGTTTGGCAGTTGTAGTGACGTTTGGTGACACACCTTGGTTTGACAACTCACTGTGGGCCTGTGCCCCTCAGAAGGTGGCACTGAACCAACCTTTGTTGTATTCCTGAAGTGACCTCCTGGGAGAGGCAGGAATTCAAGGACATTTTCAGTAACCTGAGCTAGGGAAATAGTTAGGAATCAAGGGTTTTTTTTGGTTGGTCTTTTTTGTTTGTTTTTTAGTTTATTGATGAGAGAGAGAGAGAGAGAGAGAGAGAGAGAGAGAGAGAGAGAGAGAAAGAGAAAGGAGAGAGGTGGGTGGAGAGAGAGAGCAACCTTGATTTATTGTTCCATTTATTTATGCATTTTATTGGTTGATTCTTTTATGTGCCCTGACCAGGATTGAACCTGCAACCTTGGCGTATGGGGACACTAACCAACTGAGCTATTTGGCGAGGGCAAGAATCCGTTTTATGAGGGTATAAAACAAGTATTAAGAGTCAGGACTCTAGTCCTGGCTGGTGTGGCTCAGTTGGTTGAGTGTTGTCCTATTCACCGAGAGGTCATTGGTTTGATCTCTGGTTAGCGCACATCCCAGGTTGCAGGCTTGCTCGCTAGTAGGGGTGCGCAGGAGGCAGCTGATCCATGTTTCTCTCTCATTGATGTTTCTCTCTCTTCTTCTCCTTCCTCTCTCTCTCCCTAAAATCAATAAAAGCAGATTTACAAAAAACAGTGAGGACTCTAGAGCCATGCATCTGGGTTCCTCCAGCTCTGCCACTTACTGTTTGGGTGATTGTGGGAATAGTACGCAAAACTCCCTTTCTCATTTTACATGAGAATTTGACCTTCACTTAACTTTGTATCTCCTTCCTCTGGGAGCCTGAAAACGGGAGTAAGTCAGCTGCACTTATGCAACCTTGCTTGTGATAAAAATGACTACAACTGGATGGGGAGACCTTTTCCTATCTGGTAAGAAGCTATTCTTTGTGTTTGCTGAGGTGACTCTTTCACTGTCCTGTCCTACATGGGGACTCTGGAAGCTATGCCTGTGGAGGTGTTGCAGGCAGTAGTGGCTCCTGGCAGGTGTTAAAGGTTGCGCTAGCAGCCTTTCTCTGCACCTGAGCTATCCCTTTGGGAGCCAGAGAATAGATTCTGGATGGCTTGATGGACTGGGGTTCTGTGTACTGGTCTCTTTAAGAGGGACTCCTAAGGCTGCCTTGTCCAAGAACTGTGTCCCTTCTAAGTGGATCTAATGTCAAGAGTACCAGTGGTGGTCTTGTGAGCCTCAGTGTTTCGTTAAAACTAACAAGTCTCCTGGTGGGTTTGTTTTTAAACTCTGTGTGCATTTTCCTCATCTATAAAACGGGGATGATAAATACTACTTGCCCTCTTGGGTTGTTGGGAGGATTGTAAGGCACTTAGAACAGTGTCTAGGACATAAGTGTATGCTGCTGCCATTATCGTCACCATCATCATCATTATTATTAGGAAAGGAGGAGAGGGGACCCTTTCTCCTTTGGTTCAGTTCCAGGGTCATCTCAGTTACTACAATTCACTATGTGGCTTTGGACAGATGATCTCATTCTCTGGAGACACAGATTCTCATAGTATATTCTAGGTTTTCCATTTATTTGTTGGATGAGCCAATTCATTAGGAGAGACGACTAAATGTTCTTTGGAGTCCTTTCTGGTTTCAAATACAAGGGTTTGTGTGGCGTCGACTCTGAGAAGAAAATGCAGGAGTGACGGGGAAAGAGGTGAGGAACCACCTGCAGAGGAAGCCGTGTCAGGCGGCAAAGGTCTGGACAGTCGGGGGTCACCAGGAGGAGTTGGGAGTGGCTGGTAGTCCCTCACCACCATAGTCCAGCCAAGGCTTAAGGAAGGGATGTGACAATCCTGACCTGGGAGTAATACTTTCCAGAACCTGTTTCTAGGGCAGAGTTAAAGGGGTCAGAGGGCCATGGTGTGTGGCTAGGAACAGGTTGAAATGGCTACTTTGGGTTATTTTGGAGTATTTCTTGGGGAAAAAACTGCAGAGTAGCCTCATACTCCCTGGATTTTTCTTTCCCGAAGATACCGTTCACAGTGGCAATGAGAAAGAGGATTTCTGACCTTCCGGACTGGGGGGGGGGGGTAGTTAGCAGTGGCCCCCGCAGAAGAGCAACCTTAACGCTGTGTGTTTCTCGCTCCCTTCTCAGGTCTGAATGCTGGGGCTTTTTATGCCTTGTCGACCCTGCTGAATCGCATGGTGATCTTGCACTATCCGGTGAGCGTCCCCTGAGCATGCTGGGCGCAGAGAGAATGAGGTTTCTGTGTCTGTCTTGGCAGGAACTGGGGTAACGCTTGGATCCCCCACTTCCAGCAGTGTGGTCCGGTGGTACACTGATGGGGTTTGGAGGGTCTCAACCCCAGCTCTGGGGGCACTAAACTGTGTGACAAGCTTGTTAATGTCTCTGAGCTCTCATGCTCGTTTCTGCAAAATACACATAGTTACTTATTGAAAGGTTATTTTTAGGATTAGAAAGTAAATAACAATGTGTGCGTCTCTCTCAATACTCGTGTTATATCTACATAAAGCACGTAGCATGGCACCTGGCAACACAGGAGGTAAACATATATTTGGAGTCACACCTGAAATAGTTAATTTGTAAAATGTGGGCAAGGTTTAATTTTGAACTCTTAGTTACTCACCTGAAAGTATTTTTTAAATGTTTCCAGAACCAGGGAGGGCTGGATGCTGGGAAGGGGATGCTGAGCATCCCGGAGTCAGGAATCCCAGGTCCGACCTGCTTGTGAAAGGGCCAGGGTCTCATAGTTGCAGAGGTGGTCACTGTGGCTAAGCATCCCAGTTCTGCAGTTCGACAGATCTGAGTTCAAATCCCAGCTCTGCGCTTAATAAATGCCTCAGTTTCTTCATCTGAAAAATGGGGTATACTGATTCCTAACCTTATGGTGGGGAATTGTGAGAATTAAATGGGGTAATGATCTAAAATCCTTAGCATGGTGCCTGGCTCAGAAGAATAAGGGCTCAAAAATATATAACTATTATTTTATCATTCCTTTTGGCACTGATACCTCAAAACACCTAAGTACGGGGTATCTGGATATACGTATTTCAGTTTCCCTATCTGTGAAATGGGAATGATGATAACTAAGATAAAAGAGTTGCCAAAAGGATTACATTAAAAAACACAACAAAACAAAAACCCTACCTGAAAGTGGTTCTAAGGACAGAATTTGGTTCACCCCCATGTGGTATCATGTGCATGTATCTGGTTATATTATGTTGCGAGGAGCAACTATTCTAGGATTTTCTCCCCGTCGGCAGCCTCTTACTGGCTGTCTTGTCCTGAGACATTCTGAGAATCGGCTCTAATGGAGCCCGAGTTCCTTGCCTTTGCCCCCCACCTTGTGGTCACTGTGCTCTGTGTCCTGTCGCTGGCTGACCTCTGGGGCTGTGGTTTTCTTTCCCAGGGGGAAGAATTGAATGCTGGAAGAATCGGCCTGACCATTGTCATTGCAGGCATGCTTGGGGCTATGATCTCAGGCATCTGGCTAGACAAGTCTAAAACCTACAAGTAAGTGACTCTTCCTCTCGAACTGAGAATTGGGGGGCTCATTTTTTAAATGACAGCAATACAGCACCAAAGGTTTGAGTGATCAAGTGGGCAGTTCAAACATATCTTCTCTGAGCCTCAGTTTCCTCATTTATAAAAACAGTACCTGCCCTGTGGGGATCTTAGTGAGATTAGAAATAAAGGACATGAGGTCTAGCACAGTAACACACATACACACATACACACACATACACACCCCAAGTAGCTATGGAAGGTACAGATGGGGGAGAAATGAAAATGAATATAGAAAAATGTCAGCAGCCTTGACCAGTTTGGCTCAGCAGTTAGAGCGTCAGCCTGCAGACTGAAGGGCCTCGGGTTTGATTCCTGGTCACAGGCATATACCTGAGTTGCAGGTTTGATCCCCAGTCCTCTTGGAGTCATGCAGGAGGTTACCAATAGATATGTCTCTTTCACATGGATATTTCTCTCTCCCCCTTCATCCCTTCCACTCTGTCTAAAAAAATCAATGGAAAAATATCTTTGGGTGAGGATTAACAACAACAACAACAAAAAAAAATTGTCAGCACTTGGAAAGTTTGTGGAAACCCCAAAGAGTGGAGATGAGGGGGTGATTCCACTGGCCTGTTGTCATGGTTCCCTTGGACCCAGGGTTTAACCATGGTGCTCTGTGCTTACTGTGGTTTACAGTGTATTGTCTTGCAATTGCTTATACTGCACCTTGTTGGTAAGTGTTGTGATGTGCTTTGGGTCTGATTGCCCAGAGCATTTCTAAGAGCCCAGAGTGGTCTAAGATGTTAGTGTCTGTCAGACTAATCCAGGATGCTTATTAAAGAGACAGGCTCCTGGGCTCCACCGTCACGCATGCCCGTTCAGTAGGGGAATCTGCATTTGCCTCCATCTGTCTTTGGCTCAGTTTGCCTTAATTCAGTAGCCAGACTCAGAGAAAAGACTCTGGAAAAAATAGAGACCCAACATCCTTCTCTCTCTTTTTTTAAATTGACTTTTTAGAGAGAAGGGGGAAGAGGGAGAGAGAGAAATATTGATTTGTTGTTCCACCAAGTTATATATTCATTGGTTCATTGTTGTATGTGCCCTGACTGCCAGGGATTGAACCCATAACCGTGGGCCATGGGGACGACACTCTGACCAACTGAGTTACCCAGCCAGGGCCGTCTTTCTCTTCTTACTGCATCTTCTCGGTGCTTCGTATGCATTGGGTGCTCCGTTAATGCTGGCCAGTGGGGCAGCTGCCAAGGTTGTGCTACGCTGGGGCAGGGGGCTTTCTGGGCTGCTTTGTCAAGGCCTCCAAAGTGCCCAGTGTCTGGAGGCTACAGACCGTGGCAGCCCAGTTCTCTGCCACACAAACCCACTTCTGGGAGGCTCTGGTCAGACCTGGTTTCACTGTGGCTGCCCCAGTCAAAGGCCACTTGAGGCCATCCCCGGGGGTGTGGCTGCCTGGCTGAACATGATGAAGGACCTAACGTGGCTTAATGCATTGCTGCTGGAGCTTGGCTACCACCTCTGTCATCTGTCAATTGCTTGCTTCAGCCACACAAGAGCAGTGCGGACTGGCCTTCCCCACACCAGTGAACAGCACTGTGTCTGTTTCCAGGGCTTGCTTGGTGGCAGAAGGAGGGATTGGAATGTCATTATGCTGGGATGTGGGCGGCAGATGATCCCGATGAAAACACAGGGAAAGGGCCGGGGAAGACACTCCAGAACCTAGACGTCACCGGTTCCTTAGCGGCACTCGATGCCTAGGTCCTGCAGTCAGCACGAGACGCTCCCCGCGCTGCTCTCCAGGGAGAAAGGACGAGCAGAAACTGCAGTCTGGTCTTTTTGGTGCTGGTTCTTTGCTCCCCGAGGCTCCCAGATATTTCCTGTCTGGTTTGGAGGCTGGAAATTGAATGGTCAAGTCTGTTTATCTCAGGCTGGGCCTATAGTTTTTCTAGATGGATCAGTGGTTTAAGATGAAACTCGAGTTGAAACAAACCTGGTGAAAGATGAGCTGGTGGGGTCAGGAAGAGAGAATGATGTTCATGAAGTTGCTTTCTGCAGGGTGCGTCGGACTAGATGAGGGGGGCAGGACAGAGGAAGGACAGAGCTTCTCTATGCAAAGCAGCTTTGAAGCACTGACCTTGAGCTTTTCCAAAGCTGCAACCACAGAGTGTATTAGTATCTTCAGTGCAACAGTGGAGAGAGCACAGGGTTCCAATCCCAGCTTTGGGTTCAAGTCCCAGCTCTGCATTAACGCAATGGTGACTTTAGTAAACCAGCTAGTCTGAGCCTCAGTTTTCTCATTTGTAAAACTAGGGATAGTTGCCCAACCGGTGTAGCTCAGTGGCTGAATGTCAACTGGTGCACCAAGAGGTTGCCAGTTCGATTCCCGGTCAGGGCACATGCCCAGGTTGTGGGCCCAGTCCCCAGTGGGAGGCCAATCGGTGTTCTCTCTCATTGATGTTTCTAATCTCTATCTCCCTTCCCCTCTCTCTAAAATAATCACTAAAGAAAAAGAATTTTAAAAACTAGGGATAGTCAGACATTTCTCTCAGGGCCTTTATAAAGCTTGCGTGAAATAATAAATTAATGTAAGTCGCTTAAGAGAATTCCTGGCCCCCAACAGGTATTAGTTTGACGTTACCACAGTGTACATTTGTTGATACCCCACCCCCACCATGTTTCTGACTTCAGGGGAGATGTGTGAAAGCTTTAAACTTGCATTGCTTGAGACCCAGCGTTTGGGGCAGGAGGGAAGAGGTGTGGGCAGAGCTGGTTCCCTGCAGTCAGTAGGCAAGGAGAGGAATGCCGGTCCAAGCAGGACTCGGCACCAGCAGAGTCCAGCGTGGGCACCATGGCAGAAGTGGGGGGAGGGGCACAAGCAGGGTGAGCCTAAGACTAACCAGTTCATTGCTGATGGTCCTTCTGAGGGGACTGACCAAGGGGACTGACGGGGAGTGTTCGGAACTTTCCCACTTTGGCGTCAGACTCTTCGTTCATGGCTGCAGACTGTTCTCTCTTGGTTCCTGCTCTGGAGTAATTCGGACTCAGCAGGAGATCCGGATGCACTTGTGCAGGTGGCAGCGGGAAGAGCGTAGAGATGACGGGGAGACTCTAAAAGTCAGGTCACTTCTCGGTCTTGTCATGGGATCTTGGGCAAAGCAGACATGCAGAATTGGGTGGCTTCTGGGGTAGTCCTGCACCCCGCTGTTCCTCCTGTTTGGTTTTTTGGTGGGCGATGAGGAGAAGAAAGGGCTGTGCCCCTCTTGCTGTGGATAGGAAGTGACGAGTCAAGGTGCAGCTTTGTTGAGAGTGTTCTGCAGGAGACCACACATGCAGCGGGTGGTTTCATACGCTCCTGGTTTTACCCTTTGTAGCAAAGACCATACACGATTAAATAATTTTCTGTGTGATCATTGGTTCAGTGTCCATCAGCCTCATGGACAGAAATTTCTGTGAGCGCAGATGCCTCAGCACACAGCAAAGGCTTGGCATACAGCAGGTGCCTGATAGATGCTTGTCAAATAAATGAATGAATGAACAAATAATCCTGTTAAAATTAGAAGATAATGAGTCAACCTTTTTGTCTCTGCTTGTAGGGAGACAACCCTGGTGGTCTATATCATGACTGTGGTGGGCATGGTGGTGTACACGATAACCTTGAAGCCGGGGCACCTCTGGGTAGTGTTCGTCACCTCTGGAACAATGGGGTAAGTTTCACCTCTAACATGTTTAACTGGAAAGCACCAGCCCATGGCTCCTAGAGCTGCTGACATCCTAGGATGTAATATTGATCCCTTTGCTGCCTTCTCACTGACCTCTGCGGAGATGTGGAACTGGTGCCCAGAGGTCTTGTTTATGTGTAGTAAGTACTTCAAAAGGCTGCGTTGGGCCCTCCAGGCCCACCTGTGCTGTTGGGACGCAGTGTGTTCTTCACAGACCTCTGGGAGGCTAGCAGATGTTTAGAATCTGTTTGTAGCTCTGCCTAGGACAGTGTGGGGTTACGGAATGGCTGGGTCCTGGGCTCAGTTCTGCTGCTGACGATCTCTGAGGAGATAAGAGTGGCCTGCCTTTTAGACCTGAAGGAAGGATTGAGAGAGATAACAGACGTGAACGCAGCAAGAAGTGTGGTGCGGATGTAAGACATTAGAATTGGGCCCTGGCCAGTTTGGCTCAGCGGTTGAGCGTCGGCCTGTGGACCAGAGTCCCGGCCGGGTTCAATTCCCGCTAGGGGCATGTACAAAAAAAAAAGAAAAAAGAAATTAGAATTTGCATTTTCTAGACCTGTTGTATGAGAAAGCATAGGAAAACTACCCCTTCTACAGGGGTCTCTGCTCAGCTTCACCTCCCAATTATCTACTGTGGGCAGTACGTGTGTGTGTGTGTGTGTGTGTGTGTGTGTGTGTGTGTGTGTGAGAGAGAGAGAGAGAGAGAGAGAGAGAGAGACAGAGAGAGAGACAGAGACAGAGAGAGAGAGACTCTCAGTCCTTAATTGGTGCCTCTCTAGAGGAATAATGAGGACTTCTCACTGCTCCCTCCAGGTCCCACAGAATCATGGAGATTCTGTTCAATATCCAGGGAGATTCTGTTCAATATCCAGGAACTTCCCACTCCCAGCACAGGACCTGTGTACCCATGACACAGAGTCTCAGCTAAGGGCTGAACGCGCCAGGCACCCCCACCCTTCTGTAAATGCTGAGCCTGCCTGTACCTGATGGCTGGCTGTAGAAGAAGCAGGGCTTTTGAGTACGAGGCCTCCCGAGTACAAAGCCAGCCCATGAACTTCTTCCTGGCCTGCAGGGACCTCTCTTCCCTTCGTATGGCCCCTGGAGGGTGGCCTGATCACCAGGGGCTTGGCATGTCTTGATGGGTAGAAACAAAACAGGAAAAGGAGCTCTAAAGTAGGAGGCGGGCTCTCCATCCTTCTGTTCTGCAAGTTCTCCAGCCCTTGTTCCTGTGATCTGGCCTCAGGTTCTTTATGACCGGCTATCTCCCGCTGGGATTTGAGTTTGCCGTGGAGCTGACATACCCAGAATCAGAAGGCATGTCGTCTGGCCTCCTCAATGTGTCTGCCCAGGTAGGTCTTATTTGGTGGTGACTCTTTGTTCCCTGCCCTGCTGGCACAGGAAAGCATTATGGCAGCTCAGCTCTACTGTGGGCTAGTTGGCTGGGCCCTTATTCCCAGTCTTCTTTATACCTTTCCAGGTATTTGGGATCATCTTCACCATCTCCCAAGGCCAGATTATTGACCACTACGGAACCATGCCTGGGAACATCTTTCTGTGTGTGTTCCTCACCCTTGGAGCAGCCCTCACTGGTGAGTTGGGGCCTTAGGACAAGATGGCTTTGAGGCTGCTCATGAGCATAGGCAGTTTGGAGCCTAGTGTCTTGATTGACTGTACAGGTCAGGGGTACACATGCAGGACAGAGGGGAGGGCTCGTCAGGAAGTCTGTTTGGGAGGCAATAACATGTTTTGGTGGAATGAGCATGGGCTTTGGAGATAAAGGACCCTTGCTTGAATGCCAGACTGTGACACTGATCTCCACAGCTGCTTGACCGCGGGCAAGGGGACTAACCTCTGGGAGCTTCAGGCTCCTAATCTGTGAAATGGGGATTATTGTGAGGATTAGAGCAATGTGTACCAACTCTCTGGCAAATATAAGTGATATATAAGGCCACTGTCATTGGCTTCTGCCTGTCGGGGGCCGCAGTGATCTCTAGGCTTTTTCAAGTTGGGTGGCAGTGTGCCCCTGGCCTCCTGGAATATCTGAAGTAGGTCTAGGATACCTGTGACCCTAGGCAAATCAGGGCTCCCTGTCTTGGATGAACTTGAGTATTGTTCAGCCTGATAACCGGGTCTCTGTTGCTCTTCCTTTTTGATCAGCACTCATCAAGGCAGATCTCCGGAGGCAAAAAGCAAACAAAGAAAATCCTGAGAATGTATGTATGTAGGCGCTTGCTGGGCCGAAACCTGGGTCCCCGGCTGAGGACGCGGCAGCGGGTGGGGGCGGGAGCTCCCAGAGTAGACTGGCGTTGTGGTGCCTGTGAGACCAGCTCAGCTCTCACCAGCACGCGCCCGGAGTGTCCCCAGGGGCTGTGTCAGCACCGCTTTTCTGCGGATCTTTCCTGGGCTCTTCTCCAGCTTCCTTCTCGTCCCCTGGCCTTCCTGCCCTATTCCTCAGAGCGTGTCACTGTTGTCACCGTCTGCTGAGCAGCACCCACTCCGTGGGTCCTGAGCCCAGTTCCGAGGCCCTGTCTCCACGGCTTTCAGCCTGGGGTCAGTGGCCGGAGGGAAAAGGTGGCAGCCCTGCTGTCATTCTGTCCTGGTGCTGGTGGCCCCAAGGCAGTGGCTCCTGACACGTGACAGCCCCTTAGACAGCACCCCGGGGACAGAAGGACTGGAGTCAGTGGATAGCCATAGGGGCCTGGAAGGATAAGTCAGGAGCAGGAGCTGAGGATGGTGGAAGGCGGGAGAACCAGGAGGATGATCTGCAGCAGAAAAGTGTGTCCCTTCTGTTCTGATCAGCTGGGGATCATTTTACCCAAAGTGTTAGGTGTCGGATCTGAGCCAGGATAAAAGGAATTTCAAATCTGAGGAGTAAAAGTGGGATGTTTTTTAAATAAAAGAACAATAACCCCTAAACTTATTACAGTGGTAATACACACTCTTTATAGAAAAATTTAAAAATGTAGAAAAGGGTACAAAATTTAAAAATCATCCTGTAATATTGTATCCAGAGGTGAGATGCTGTGTTTTTTTTGCATTGATTTATACATGTCCATATCCCTATATATGTGTGTGTACGTGTGTGTGTATATATATATATTCATACACACACGGTGGGGCAAAAGTAGGTTTCCAGTTGTGAGAATGTGTAACAAAGTTTATTTTTGTATTATTAATTTATTGTATTAATTTTCATACGCCCTGGCTGGTTTGGCTCAGCGGTTAGAGCGTCGGCCTGCAGTACAGAGAGACCCGGGTTCGGTTCCCGCTAGGGGCACATACCTCGGTTGCAGTTTGTCCCCGGCCCTGGTTGGTCGTGCGGGTGGCAGCCACTCGATGTGTCCCTTCACAACGATGTTTCTTTCTCTCTCTCTTCCTCTCTCTCCCTCCTGCTCTATCTGAACAAAAAATGGAAAAATGTCCTCAGGTGAGGATAAAAAAAAAAAAAAATTTTCATATGAACAACTGTACACCTACTTTTGCCCACCCTGTCTATCTATATGTGTTTTAAAACAAAAATGGAATCTTATTCTATCTGCTTTTTCACTTGTTGTGAACACTTATCAGCTCATTAGTCCTTTACAACATACTTTTTTGTTGTTGTTGTTAATCCTCACCCAAGGATATTTTTTCCATTGATTTTTAGAGAGAGTGGAAGGGAAGGAGGGAGGGGGACAGAGAGAGAGAGAAAGATTGGTGTGAGAGAGACACATTGATTGGTTGCCTCCCGTACACACCCCAACCAAGATTGAACCTGCAAACCAGGTACATGCCCTTGACTGGGAATCGAACCTGCGACTCTTCAGTGTGCATGCCAACACTCTAATCACTGAGCAACACCAGCCGGGGCCTTACAAATACTTTAAAAATTTATATATGTTTTTATTGATTTTTTTTTTTTAAGTGATGAAGGGAGGGAGAGAGAGAAATATCTATGTGAAAGAGAAACATTGATCAGCTGCTTCCTGCACGCCCCCTACTGGGGATTGAGCCTGCAACCTGGGCATGTGCCCTGACTGGAATCAAACCAGGACCTCTCAGTCCATGGAATGACACTCAGTCCACTGAGCCGCACCAGCTGGGCAACAACATACTTTTAATGACTGCTCTGTGGGTAAACCATGATTTAACAGTTTTCCTGTCCACGGACATTAAGGTTGTTTGCAATTGTTTTAAATCACATTGTCCTGGAAGCTGAATCTTTGCACGTGTTCTGAAGCACAGTGTTTCTTGGAGAAATGGATAAGTAGTCATGCACATTTTTAAGACCTTGATATATATTACTAAACTGTCTTCTAGAAAGGTACTATTGATACGACCAATTTACAGTGCTATAGCAGTGGATGAGTGCCAACACTGAATGTTTGTTTGAAAACTCATTGCCAAATTTCTAAGGCAAGAGTGGTATCTGAAAGAGATGAGATATATTTAGCATTTTAAGGCTATGCATTGGCAGATAGATGATAATCTTTAGTATTTTCCTATTTATCTTCTGATATCACACTCTAGAGTTGGCAGTAGCATGTGGAGGGAGGAGCGAGGACTGGAAATTCACTGGGGAGACAGGGAAATCCTCGGAACGGAAATGCTGTTCTCTAGACAGGCGTGAGGACCATGGCATTGCCACTGTGGGGACGGGCTTCCACCAGTGCCACGCACAAGGAAGGTGGTTTGGAACACTGTGGCGAATACAGAAAACCTGGGAAAAGGTGCCTGGAATATAACAGGATAGATTTCTCGCGAAGAGGTTTCAGTTTGGAATGTGACATATTGTGTCAAGTGATAGGTTTTTCCATGTTTATTCTGTAATGCAAACAAGAAGAAAGTAAAGGTTGCCTACAGTCGTATCACCCAGAGACAATCGAGTAACATTTTAGTCCACTTTCCAGTGTTGTTTTCTATTTTTTTTTTTCTCTTTATTGATTTTTAGAGACAGAGGAAGGGAGAGGGAGAGAAAGATAAAAACATTGATGAGAGAGAACATTGATATGCCGCCTCCTGCATGCCCCCCACTGGGGATTGGGCCGACAACATGGGCATGTGCCCTGACTGGGAATCAAACCAGGGACCTCTTGGTGCATGGGTCGATGCTCAGCCACTGAGCCACACCAGCTGGACATCCAGTGTTGGTTTCCATGGGAATGCTTGTACACATTTGGTGTTCTGCTCTGCTTGTTTACTTAATACAGCTTGACAACCTTTCTGTACCATTACATTATTTTTTAAATTTAAGTTTTTATCCTCACCCAAGAACATTTTTTACATTCATCTTCAGATAGAGCAGGAGAGAGAAAGAGAGAGAGAGAGAGAGAGAGAAACATCAATGTGAGAGAGACACATCAACTGGTTGCCACCCACACGACCCCAACCAGGGCTGGGGACAAACTGCAACCGAGGTACATACCCTTAGCGGGAACCAAACCCAGGACTCTGGTCCGTGGACCAGATGCTCTAACCGCTGAGCCAAACCAGCCAGGGCCACATTCTTTTTGTGTTGTTGTTAACCCTCACCTGAGGATATTTTTTCATTGATTTTCTAGAGAGAGTAGAAGGGAGGGAGGGAGGGAGAGAGAAAAAAAGAAAGAGAGAGAAACATCAATGTAAGAGAGACACATCAATTGGTTGCCTCCCACAAGACCCCAACTAAGGCCGGGGATCAAACCCACAACCCGGGTACATGCTCTTGCAAAGGGTACATGCAACCCTTTGGTCCATGGGCCAATACTCTAACTGCTGAGCCAAACCTGCCAGGGCACGTACCATTACATTCTATAACCTCATTTCCACACACAAACACACACATTTCCATTTCTTCGTGTTGAATGTTTAGGTTGTTCCAATATTTCACTGTTACTATAACCAGATGCTTGTGCATGTGGACCAGGTTTGTCACACAAGGTTGCAGTTGCTGGCCCAGTCACCTTCTTTTGGAGTATTGGAAATAGCACTGAGTAGAAATAGGAGACAAGTCCGGTGATGGTTCTCAGCTGTCTGTGTCCCTGGATCAGTCACTCTGCATCTCTGGACCTCACTGGCATCTGGGCAGCTTGGTGTTATGGGAAGGTCAGAGTCATGTGGGGCTTGACACCCAAGCAAGTCATGGCTGTCACAGAGCATCCCTTTTGTGGAGCCCACCGTGGTGGTCAATGTGAGCGTGACCTGCACACTGGCACACACGTTCATGATCAGAGCCAAGTAAGGACAGGGCGCACAGCAGAGCTGGCCCGACTGCTCTTTCTAATCAGCAAGGTGTTTAGTTTTGGTAAAAAGAGACAGAACTTATGGGATGAGGGTAATGACTGACCTTAACTATGAAAGTCTTGGCTTGGGTTTCCATTTTTCTTCCAGTTGGAAGAGTGGCTATGCTTCCATTCCCACTAGTCTGTTTCTGACTGACTTCAAGGTGATGGCTCTGGAGGAAGCAGGTGTATGTGTGCATGTGTTGGCACATATGTACGTGTGCCAGAGAGACGGACTGATGGATTGAAGTTGCCTGAAGAAAGGTGTCCCATGACTCAGCCTGACCTAGTGTCAAGTTAACAAGACTGAGAATGGGAAGGTTGGATTTCTACAGCTGCTGCCATTGCTATGGACTGGCCCTGAGACACTCCCGGGAAAGCGCCATGTGTCTGATTGACACAGGACTGTAGCTTGGGCCTGCACACACTCCTCCAGCCCTTGAATGGTGTTGGTGGTGCAGGGCTGTGCTGTGCCCAAGGCCTCCTCTTTCACCGGATGAACCCTTGAGCTAAGAAGCAAAGTGCTCCTTAAAATAGCAAATGCCCAAGGAGGCACCATGCACCCAGTTGTTCCCACAGGATACTTTCCAGGCCATGTTTAATTCCAAACCCACCAAGTGTGGCCCAGAAGACTCTTCTCCTCCTGAGCCATCTCTCCCCGAGAAAGCCAAAGCCAAACTGACCCGCAGTCCCCGTTCCTGTGCATCCAGTATATATACATACTTTTAGTCATTGAGTTGGTATGCATCCTGCCCGTGTAAACATTTTTGTTGCATTTGTTTTCATGCACGTTATAATGATATTCCTCGTTCTGGGGGCCACCTCCAAATGGGGGCAGTCAGAAAGTCAGAGGGACCTGCAGACATGGCACCTGGACAGCTGCCTAATGGTCATTGCCTGTGACTTTTAGGCTGTCAGACTGGGGAGGGGGGAGGGGACAACAGTGGCATTCGGAGTGGGATGGTTTGTGGTGATTGTGGCATCACAGAGAGTAGGCCTTCTTGGTTTGTCCTTTGATGACATTGTGATGGTGTGTGTGTGTGTGTGTGTGTGTGTGTGTGTGTGTTTAGGGAGCACCCTTGAGCCAGGGGCTGGCACTTCTTTTCTTGTTCACTTTGGCCTCTGGCTCTTGTTTTTCCTGTTGATGGGACAGTCACTGCCAGGGTGGAGGCCTGGGCCTCTTCACCCAGAGGCCTGTCTGCTTGTTTTGCCTTGTAGAAACTCCCGGAGGAGGAGGAGGAGGAAGAAAAGGTGGAGAAGGTTACCAGCAAGGCACCCACCACCACCTCTGTGTCTGAGGAGCATCTCTGAGGAAAAAAGGTGGTTATGACTCAGGGACCACGGAGAACCCCCCCACCTCTTCAGTCAGCACAGTTCTCTCTGGCAGTACAAAGGTCTTCGCAGGGGCAGCGTTGGGAGGGAACCGGCTGGAATATTTTTGGTTTGAACGGCAGTGCCTGTGCTTCTGGAACCCACTCAAGAGCCTGCATGGTCTAGTTGGGGAAAATCGCACCTTTCACCAAATGCAGGTTCGATTCCCACCCCACCCCTTTTAGTCTGGGAGCTGGTGTCGGGAGAGGCTGGTGAACAGCGGAGTCAGTTCTGGCTTTGCGCCTTGCCTTCCCGCCTCAGCTTCATCCCTCTTGGAGACAGCCTGCAAAATTATCACGGGAAGAAAGCTTATTCAGGATATTAACGTTTTCAAGTGTGTTAAGACCCTTAGAAGCCCAAGTCTAAGGAGCGGCAGCTGCGGCGGATGAGGTCATTCTCGGGTCATCGGACTGACTGCCAACATTCTGTGGGACAGAAAGCTCCATCGGAACACACCAGTGGGTACTTCGGGCCTACGTTCTCCCGGCCTAAAGTTGGGGGCTGTCTCCAAACCCTCTCTCCTGAGAGCTGATCAAACCAAACATCAGTAAACTTGAGAAAGACTGCGTTGTAGCCATGAAGGAGACACTGTTTTGGGAGTGGTGACCACCTGGGTGTGTGAGGGTGCTGGGGCTGCCTTCTGAGTGTGTGTGTGATGGCCCATGTTGGGGAACTTGGGGAGCTCGATTTGGGAATGGGTGGATTCTTTCTACAAGGAAGTCCTTGCCCAGAGATTCTGTGTGTCCCCACTGATGCCTTCATATGTACACTGCCTTGAGGAACTCAGCGCTTGTCTTCTCTGGAGAGAGGGAATACCAGCCACCTTCCCGTAACCGTTACTGAAAATCCAAAGCCGCTTCTGAGATGAGAAATGGGAACTGAGTCTGCTTGAATTAAGTGTACCCCAGCACTGGTGGGGACAGCATTTGCACACAGCCCCCTTCTGGCAGTAACCTTTTATCAGATGTTCTGAATTTGAAGGGATTCACTTCAGCCAACCTAAGCTCACCTCCTCTCCTGCCAAACATGCTGTCTGGCTCTACTCATAGGCTTGGGGGGGGGGTAGCATCTCCTGAAAAGAAGACATTTGGGTAATTTTTCCTGTACGTTGAGCAGCTGCAGTCGTGACCACTGTGCTGTTTTGCTGTGGCTACTGCCCTGGACTCAGCATATCCGAGTAGCCTGTGTTGGTAACAGTGCAGGGCCATTGCCAGAGGTGTGTGCAGACACTGTGCGTAAGAAGAGAACGTCACACTACAGGTGGGGGGAGGGGGGTGGAAGAGAGGTAGAGAGAAAGGATGCCTTTTTTTTCTTCAGAGATTTTTAAAAAAATCCTCACCCAAGGATATGTATTTATTGAATTTTAGAGAGAAAGGGAAAGAGAAAAACATCGATGGGAGAGAGAAACATCAATTGGCTGCCTCCATAGGTGCCCAGACCCAGGGATTGAACCCACAACCTAGGTGTGTGCTCTGACCAGGAATCAAACTGTAAACCACTGAACCACCCAGCCAATACAGTGTGCCTTACTTTTTGACCAGAAAGATGTTTACTCTTCATTTCCTAAAAATGTATTAACAAAATGTTTACCAAATCCATTGCTTTATTTTTAAAAACATAATTTGTATTTTCTCTTTGTAAACCAGATGTTTTAAAGCAATAAAAGATTTTCCAAGTGTTCTGCCTTGTCATTTGATGCATCAGCGGTGGCTTTGTGGTAGTCCCCGAGATTATTGCACATTTCTGAGGGCTGGAGGGGTGCGGTGGGGGCGTTGGGGCTGGGGGAGCAGCTCCCGTGGCCTTCCATAGAAGTGGTCTTCTGTTTACGTAGGTGTTACTATCCTGGTGGGTTTAATTTTATTCTTAAATCCTCATCCTAGGATATTTTTCCATTTATCTTCAGATAGAGTGAGAGGGAGGGAGAGAGCGAGAGAGACACACATTGCTTCCCGCGTGACCCCGACCAGGGCTGGGGACTGAACTGCAACCAAGGTATGTGCCCTTGACCGGAATTGAACGCATGACTCTTTGGTCTGCGGGCCCAACACTCCAACTGCTGAGCCTAACTGGCCAGAGCAAGTCAGCTATTTTTTTAAAGAACAGGCTATAAAGGTTACTGTTAGCCTATGACTGCAACTCTACATCCAGCACTTGACCCTGACCGCTCCCGATATGTGTACACATGAAGGTTTGACCCAGTGTGAGTGCTGATGAGAGGCCACTGTTGTTTTTGGCTCTGCCTCAAAGGGTGGCTGTTGTTTTATAGTCACCCCAGCCATGCACCAGCTTGCTCTGGCCAGAGACCAGTTTCGGCCACTGCAGTTCTTTGATTTTTCTTCTGAACTGTCCTATGTACTGCCACTCCTTCCTTATATCTGTTACTGGGATATGCTACCATCAGTTTTTCCTACGTCTTCCCTAGAGTTACATCGTGCCTGGGGCATTCTGGCACCATATCTGCTAGCAATTGTACTTTAAATCATCTAGGAAGGGAGCCAAGCCTGGGCTGTTAAATCTAATAGTCATAGTGTCTGCGAAACACTCTATGTCACCTTTTATATCCTTCAGGATCTTGTCTTTATCTGGAATCATATTTCTATGATGCATGCCTAGAGGATCTAAATCATGATTTCATTCACTCCTTTCTTAGGTGGGTTCCCCGTGGATCTCCACTCAAATGTTAACTCTGTAAGATTATTGTGTTTCTTCCTGCTTCCTTCCAACAGTTGATAAGAGTAGTTCTTAGCACTGAGCTACTTTTCTAGATGTAGTATTGTGGGGATATGAGCGAAACTGCTGCAACCATTATTTGGCATCATAAAGGAAGCCAGCCTGAGGATGAAGCTAACAAAGGTAGGCAGAGCCAAAAGAATCAGAGAAATGGAGTCCTGATCAAACTGTTCCTGAAGCCTATAATTCCCTTAACTTGACAGTTTTGTGAGCCGATGTTATCTTTGTTGTTTAATCTAGTTTAAGGAAGATTTTGTTCCTTGCACTTAAAGAGCCTTAACTGATGGAGAATTTCCAATGTACGTAAGCCTCAAATTCAGACTTCTTGTCACAGCAAGTCTCCTGCCCCCCTTCCTGACCTACCTGCTACTTTCCACTTCCTAACTTGACCATACTGTAGTTACACTGATCTTACTGCTTGAACAAGGTTCCTGCCTTCCAGGTGCTGTTTTCTCTGCCCTTAATAACTGCTGCTGTATATCTTAAGACACATGATATCTGCACATTCAAGTCTCAACTATAATCTTACCTCCTACTTCCTGGTGGTGTAAATCATGCACTCCCCTTCCCTCCTTGGTTACAGTATCTATTTTCTAGAATTCTTATCACTGTCTAAAATTGTTCTTTCACTTGTAGGCTTTCTTATTTTCTATTTCCTTGGCTACAATGTAAGGAGCACAGGAGCAGAGTCATTGGCTGGGAGTCATTCATTTTCCTTTCCTAAGTGTCTTGCAGGGAGTAAGTGTTCAATAAAGATGTGTTGAAATAACGAATGGGCCCTGGAGTCTACATGCTGTGTGAGGGCCCAGCCAGAGTGGGGCCCTTCCGGGTTGTTTGGAGGACTGTGCGTCCAGCGCTTTCTCCTTGGGCTTGTGTTCTTGTCACCATCATGCAGCTGTTCCTTCTATGCTGCCTGGTTCTGTATTTGGCCTGTCCTTTCTCAAGAATCTGTTTCTTCCTTACGAAGAAAACAAGAAAGGGTTCTGACTATTCAGTTGTGAACTCAGAATCTTGAAGGAGGGCAGGAGAGGAGGATTTGACTTCAAGGGAAGTGAACAAGCGACTAAAGAAGCTGCGGGCAGCCGGGTCTGCCCGGGTTTTGAGCCGTCCTCACTGCGGTACAATTGACCAGCAGAAAGCTGATTCTCCTAGGCCAGGGCTCAGGGGAAGGCAGGAGTGCTCTTGGCTTAAGGGAGGTCAAAGGACAAGGACCGGTCAGAGCAGAGGGTTTTTCTGTTTATTACAAAATTCCTTACACAAATACAGCTGACCCGAAGGTCTAAAAACAGCCCAGACTCTTCCAACCATAATCCACGTGTAGCTACAAGGATGTAAGCCATGCTCACTCACAGGGGAGCCCTTCTTAGAAGAACCACCTGTTCCTCAGATCGTGCGGAGTCTCGGGTCTAGCAGCAGAGAGGAGCCAGTGTATGTGGACAACCCCTGGAAGCAGCCCTTGGTGGCAGCTGCTCTGGGTGAGGCAGCAGCTTGAAGTTCCAGTCCACTTGTTCCCACCACACAAGTCAAACGGAGGGGTGGAAATGAAAGGATGAAAGCAGGAGGCTCAGAGAGAGATCCTCAGAGATTGCGGGTGGGAGAAGGGCACACACTGGGCTTCTGAGGTGCTGGCGATGTCTTGATCTGGATGGAAGTACAGAGTCGTCACTTTAAGATGATTCTTTAAATTGTTCATACATGTTATATACTTTCCTGTATGCAGGTTACAGCTTTAAAAATTTTAAATGTAATAAAACCAAAACAAAACGTAAAAGGCTAGAAGTGGGTAAGGGGTTGATGATGGAGCAGAGAGGAAGAAATCAAAGCGCAGAGAGGATGACGGAAGAAGACAGCAAAGGTGGCAGACGAGGTCTCAGAGGTGGTACTGTTGGCCTCAGTTTCTTTTCTTCTGTCTGGATACTGGTTCTGCTTCTAAGTATCGGAGCCCAACTAGCATACCCAGGATTGAGAGACCTTAAATACAGACAGAACATTAGTGACTAACATAGCAGAGCGCCCTCTGGTACCCCTTGTATGTCTGCCAGGGCTGGGGCAGTTTCCATGGGAAGTCTAAGGTGGTTGCACGCTTACTTGCCACCATCAGGGGTGCCAGGACGCCAATCGTGGGAGCCGCGGTCCCGTATACAAACAACTCGGAGAGGAAGTGCCCCAGGGCCAGGAGGAAGGTCCAGAGCGTGATGTGGTAGAGCCTATGAGGGAGCAGACAGATGGGAACTGAAGTGCACTGACTGTTCTGTGCAGAGGAAGGTGGTGAGCAGACCCAATGCACACAAAAACCCAGGAAGTGACTATGGCTACAGGCAGAGACTTGGTCTTGAGAAAGACCTGGCTGCTTGATAACATCCCATTCTCTCCTAGGGCAAAACTGAAGGTTTCAACTTCTAAACGGAGAGAATGGTCCAGGTATCCAGAGTCGACCTTCAAGTCTTAGCAAGGTGGTAGAGCCAGCTACAGCAAAGCTGGGTCTGCATTCTGGCAATCCCAGCAGTGTAGACCACTTTGGATTAACCATGTTTACATATTCCCCTTACTCAGACTGGCTTGCCTCTGTAATCTGAGCCCACCTGGCCCGTGTTTGGCCCAGGGCTGGTCAGAGCTCATATGATGGATGCCAAAGAATGAAAGGCCCGCATGGGGTATGAGCAGCAAGGACTTCTTGGGGGTTTTTAGATGCTCTTGCAATGTGTGCTGCCTATGTTGTCTTAGCCTGGGGAAATGTCAGATGGAGGTCCCGGCAACAACCTCAGGGGAAGAGAACTTGTTCCTCAGCTTTGACAAAAAGGTGGGGAAGAGATAGGTTACAGGATGATCGACCATCTGGATTGCTGATATCTTTTTTTAAACTATGACATTTTCAAAATTATGAAATCTCTAAACATAGATAATACTATAATTAAATATCATTACTACCTTTCTTCCCTAGATGCTGAGGGTCTGGATCAGACAGAAAACTATTTTAGTGTGAAGTTGGTGTTTTGGTGGCCTCACCCACTGACCTGAGTAAACTTTTCCACCTTGACGGGGTGATGACTGATGTTGGGAAGAAGGCTCGAGCACCCTCCAGTGGCCAGCACCAGCTACAGCATTCTCTAGACAAGAGGCTAGCATTGTCTGCAATTGTTCCACACTAGTCTATTTGAGTACCCTGGAGAGGCAGCATACAGGAGTCCTGGGTTCTCTTTCACCCTCCTCTGCAAAAGCATACAGCAGTTTACTTGTGGGTTCCTTTTTTCATGGATGGTGATTTCTGTTCATTCCTGCTTAAGGAGGAATGCGAGAATAAGGTCTGTGTGGGTGGCTGCTCTAAAAAGAGCACACTACTGTGCTCAAGTAGAAGAAAGGCTGATTCTTTAATAAAGAAGTGTGGGGTTTGATGCAGGCCACTGGTCCATGGCACTGCCAATTTGCTATGTCAGTTCAAAAGTATTTTCAAACCTTAAAGACCTGTTAGGCCTATTATGTTTATTAGGCCTGGAAGGAATGGAACCTATTAACCTTTTATTATCCACATTGTAGGTTAATGTATCAAAATTAACAGATCTCTGAGGGGAGGACCATAATGGGTATGCGTAGCACCCCAGTTGAAACAAAAGGATGCTAACGCTCTTCCTTCCCTTACATACGTCTTGTTGTGGATGTCAACGGCACAGAGGCAGCGAATCACTGATGAGAGCAGCGTCCAGATCCCAAAGGTCCGAGCTTGGAGGCCATTCACTGTGTAGTAGAAAAAAACAAGAGTGTTGAGAAGGAGAAGGTTAGGATCCCCTTCAAACTCTTGCTGCTTCACGGGTGGATCATGGGAGGCAGGGAGCTGAGCCTGAGCTCCCTGTGGCTGGGCAGAATGGAAGGAATTCCAGAATAAGATCTGCTCAGCTCCTCTCTTCAAATGTCTGCAGCTGGGCAAGGGAGTTCCAAGAGTGGAAACCCAACAGAAAGCCCACTTGGGCAAGTAACTCCTGGATGTATAACCCATCAAGGTTATACCTCTGCCCTCGAAACCAGTCTGGTGTTGGTGAAGCCCAGCGAGTGTGGATCAGGAAAGGTTTGGGGGGGGGGGGGTGCTGCAGAGCTGTCTGGCAATACAAGATGCCTGGGAGGTCAGCAGTTTTTCAAGGATGGTGTAGGAGAGAACTCAGAAATGACGGAGCCTGTTGAGATGGCCACATCTGGTCTTTCAGAGACCTAAGTCCCTGGGTCTTCCCTGAATCCAGATTTGTATTATTTGAGCAAAGCCCAAACCAGGCTGATTTCCTGGACACATGGTAAGTGGAACAAAGCACTGTTTCTTTAGTGTTTGCCAAGGCCACCCTGCCCTTGGTGGCTTTGTTCTGACACTACTATATTAAATAGCTTGTCCTGAAAGTGTGGATCATATTCTACCACAACAGTGGTTCTCAACCCTGAGCATTTATTACAATCAACTGAAAAAGTTTTATAAAATTAGCAAGACCTGGGTACCAGACCAATTAAATCATACTCTCTGGAGGTGGGCCCTAGGCATAAGTGTTTTCTAAACCCCCACCTTGGTGATTGTAACATACAGCCACTGATCTAAGGCATTCAGTGGTCACAATGCTGAAACAGTAAAAGCAAAAATACTTCTTTGCTGAGCAAGAGAAATTTCAAGGGACAGGCTAAAAACTGAAGGGCCTATAAATGTTTACTTGGCTTTAAGGATTTTCCAGCCTTTGGAAAACCAGACAGTGATATCAATTTCACAACCCCAAAGACCTCTGAATAGTAGTAAGATAAACAAAAATTCCACACACCAACCAAATACCTAGTTGTTAGCCCTTGCGGGCTACATTCTTTGTAAACCACCTTGATAGCTTTTCTGATGAAAAGACTGAGGAAATTTCTGTAGTTAGTGAGATACAAAAGGGGAATTTTCCACCAACCTTAACCAGATTAGGGATCAGGTAAAATTCTACCACAGTACTGATATGATTGTCAGAGTACCATGACAGCCCCCAGATCATGAGGAGGAGGCTGGAGAAGACTGACTGACAGACAGACAGACAGACAGACACACACACACACACACACACACACACACTTCTTTTGCTCAGCTCTATGCCCTTCAGCAAGTCACGCGACCCCTGGGCTTCTCTGTCTCAACTTAAATTCAAAGAGCTACACCAGATAACCTCTAAAATGCCAGGAAGCAATACAGAGTTCCTGGACCAACTGAAGGTAGCATTGGAGGGTGAAAAAGTGGAACTGTCTTGACCCCTTTTCCAGGTTCTTTACTCCTATTGTATTAGAGCTTTGTTCAAAATGAGCCTTAGCCTACTTAGTTTCATTTTCTACCCAGATGTTGAAGAGCTAGGTCAGAGGCTGAATCTGGGTGAGCTATAAATGTGGCAATCATCAGCTGCACCGCGCTGCCGCTCCAACTACCCCACGCATCAGCGCAAGGAGGCGCGAGCTGAAATGTGAAAATACTCTCAGCAGAGAGGCTCAGGAAACTGGGACAGACCGCCAGGGCCTTCTGAAGTTTCATTTTGGGAGACAAACTTGGAGGGATTTGGGCTGTCTTCTCAGGGATGATGTCACGGTTTGGGAAGACCTTGGATTAGTAACTCTCCATCTGCAACATGGAATGTAACCACGTGTGCTATGACATGATTTCTGAAGATGGCTGAGATAACATGAAAAGCTTCTTATTTATTTATCCTCACCTGAGGACATTTTTGCATTTATCTTCAGATAGAGGAGGGAGGGAGGGAGAGAGAGAGAGAGAAACATCGATGTGAGAGAGACACATCGACTGGTTGCCACCCACACGACCCCAACCAGGGCCATGGACAAACTACAACCGAGGCATGTGCCCTTAGCGGGAACCGAACCCAGGTTTCTCTGGTTCGCGGGCCGACGCTCTAACCACTGAGCCAAACCGGCCAGGGCCATGAAAAGCTTCTTTATGGCTTCTAGTGGGGCACTGCAGAGTCACCAAGTAACTCTATTTCCTCATTTGCCTTTTTTAAAAAATTATTTTTATTATTTTTGTTACAGATGTTTCTCCTTTTTCCCCCATTGACACCCTCCTCCCCACCCCCGTCCCCAGCTTTGTTGTCTATGTCCACTGGTTATGCATGTATGCATATAAGTTCTGTGGTTTAAATCATTTGCCTTTGTAATGCTTTTTTACAGGCTGCCTAGGGCAGTGTAAAATGAATGAAGGTATTCAGAGAAGTTTTGGGGGCAGAAGGAATGGACCAAATGTTATCCACAAAGTGTATTACTCTAGTGGCTGCCAAAAGCTAGATTAGGCAGCATCAGAATCACCTAGATAGTTATTAAAGATAGATACCTGGTTCCACCCAGGGGTGGAAGTTTCAGTAAATAGGTTTGGAGAGGCAAATAGGCACCTGCACTTTGCTTGTTTGTAAGTTTCCTAGTAAGTAATTCTGATATATAGCTTAGTCTGGGAACCACAAATTAGGCCACTCCCAGAAGTTCTTTGACTTCTTACCCAGGTTTGGCTTGCCGGTGTAGAGCTTTTCATAGAGAAAGGTATGGTCTCGGAAGCTCTGTAGTGTGTTCCCCATGGCTATGATGGATACCATAACCAGCCAGCTTCGTAACACATTCAGGAAACGGCTCATGACTCCCCTCAAATCTGAGAGGGCTTCTTGCCCTAGAAACAAAGGCAAAGGACAGGAGACAACAGATGGTTAATCTTCTATAAACATAAGCTCTTTCTCTGCTGTAGTTAACCTGTGTCCCACTCAATAGGGCTGTACCAAGCTTATTTGTTCGATCACTTCATAAATTCCTCTGCAAGTCCACTAGGCTCATCCTCCCATTACCCATTACCTTTTTTTTAAATTCTCATCTGAGGATATTTTTCTATTTATCTTCAGACAGAGTGGGAGGGGGAGAGAGGGAGAGAAAGGGAGAAAGAAACATTGATGTGAGAGGGACACATCGACTGGCTGCCTTCCGCACGGCCCCAACCAAGGCCAGAGATGAACTGCAACTGAGGTACATGCCTTTGGCCAGATGGAACCCGCAACTCATTGGTCCGCATGCCGATGCTCTACCGCTGAGCCTTGCCGGCCAGGGCCCTCCCATTACCTTAACATATTACTCTTACTTTCACGAAATTAGCACACTGCCTTTGAATATTTTCCCTAAACCAAATTGTGCTGACCTTTACCCAGAGAGAAAAAGGCTAAATAATGTGGTAGGCAGAAATGACAAACCCAGAGGAAAAATTGGAGATAAAAAAGAAGGAGCAGTAGAAGAGGAGGTGTACAAATATTACTATAAAGTAAAGTATATTTATGTATAAGGCATACAGAAATTGGTCTCAGTATTTAGTCACACTAACAGTGGTGAATCAGCAGTATACTTTCCAATAAATGGCACAGTACTTATCTTTGTCTTGAGCAGTTTCTCCAAAATAGTACCCTACATCAAAAAGAACTTTCTTCTTGGCTGAGTCAATCCTCTTTTATCTTTCCTTTTAGACTGCTTTTTTCTTGTCATTCCTTTGTAATACAAGTGGCTGAAAAGTAATTATAAACATACTAACAGATACCTGCCTGGCTATTGATGACAGATCCTTCCAAGTGCATAGTAGCCTTACACATTTCAGTGGAACCAATAGTATGAGGGCAATATTGACATCCTCAGGTTTTTTCTAATTTGGTTCTCAGGTACACCATGCTCCATAAACTAGAAGAACAATCTAAAAATTAAAAATAAACTGCTATGACTTGAGAACTAATAAGAAATTATATGGAGGAGGAAAAAGCAATGTTGGCATTGAGTTGCAGGAGAAATTATAACAGCTAAGTTACTGGACACTTGTATGTGCCATGCATTGTGACAAGCACCTAACATATCATAGACATGATTAACATTTCCATTTTACAGGTGAGGGTTGGCACAGAGAGATTAAGTGATTTGCCTGAGGTTATACAGCTAATACATGGACAAGCTGAGACATGAAGCATGGTCTATGGACTCTACATTGCAAGACTGACTCACTGTTTGAGAATATTTTGACGAAGTTTACATTTTTGAGGAAGACAAGCATACCATATCCTCTTTTGTCTTCAAGTTGTATAGGAAATACCATTAGGTTATGTTGTGTGTGTTTTTTTTTAAATAAAGCTTATATTAACCCTTGCTGAGCACTGATTTCAATTAGTTTGACTTAAATAAAATTCATGTAGGTAAAGAATTTAATAATGGAATTACTTCTTCCCATCTTCATTATGTTTCTTTGGTCCACAATTTATCTGCTGTCAGGTTAACTTGCTGGGCTTGAAGTGGTGACAAACTATCAGGCTTCCTTTGTCACTCTGGCAGTAAAAGTTTCAGTACAGTCCTACACTACCCAATGAAACAGATATTAAAGTCAGTCATGGCTCAAGATAGTGTGAAGCACCAAAAACAAAAAAGAACTAGAGAGGAGGAAGGGTGAATCAAGGAATCCCTAGGGGAATGTGGACTACAGAGTGCACCTTGTCCAAGTCTAGAGAGAATGGGGCTCTACTGGACACCACAAAGAATTACAGCCTGGGCCCAAATCCCCATCTATCTTCTCCTCCTTATTTTCTTACCCTCCCTCGGTAGGAGGTTCTTCCCAGAATCAGAATAGCTGCATGGATGGCCCCCTCTTTTTGACAGAATTTACGCTTCTCATTTTACAGAAGCTCTTAAAAATCCCAATAGTTAGCTGAGGAGGGCAGAGCCAGGGCATTCTTCTGAACTGCTCTTCTAATCCCTCGACCTCACTTTCCTAAAGCTTGAGGACCTCCTAGATCTAGAGTATCCAAAGTCTATTCTCAGATTTTGCCCAGGCCCAGCCTAGCAAAAGTGTGGTGTCAAAACTCGGGTCAGGAGAAAGGCGTTCCTATCCTGGCCCTACCATTTCACAGATGTGTGACCCTGGGCAAATCATTTACACTTTACAGCCTTGGTTCCTTACCTGCGAGTTGGAGATTTAAAATGAAATACTTTCTCAAGGGATATTCTCCTTACCTGGCGACCGGACCCAAGCCAGCAACAGCAGCAGCAGATGCTACCCCAAAACAGCTCTAGCCAGGAGTCCACCTGAGCAATTTGTCCCCGCCCCCGCCCTCACCCGGCTCCAGGATTGGGCCGTTTCTGTCATCCCTCGCTCTGATTGGCTGTTCCGCTTCTGCTCAGGAGATGGGGCGTGAACCCCTTTACTGCCAATCAGCGGTTGTGCTGTCCAAGTGTCAGCTGCGGTACGCCGCTCACATAGTGAACCCGCCTGTTAAGCGTGGCGGAAGAACTCCGGCATTGGATTCAACCCTTTAGGGGCGGGGGGGTAAAAAGCGGAGAAAAGAAGATTCTTCTTCTGAGAGCGGACTCTTAGCCCGCGCTGCGCGGCGGTGACGACATTCGTCCGCGCCCGAAGCCGAGCGTTGTCTGCGCCGGGTGGCGGGCGCCTGCGCAGTGGCTCCGAGCGGGCGGTTGCTTGTTGGTTGTTGTAGTAACGGGGGAAGCAGCCGTCCGCGGCCGCGGTGAGCCGGACTGGGGAAGGAGGAGGGAGGTAGGCGCAGAGCGCTGTCCCCGCCCGCCCGCCCCGAGCCATGGGAAGATGAGACAGGTAAACGCCTGCGCCGGCGCGCTCCCCTACCCGAGGGCGGTGCGCTCCCGCGTCTGGGCGGGCGCGGTCCGCTGCACTTCCCTCCCGGAGTCCGAGGGCAGCTGTAGGTTTCCGGGCGCGCCGGGCTGAATCACTGCGGCGGAGTTGCCCGTCTTTCCCGCGGAGAGCATCTGCGGACCGACCCGGGATGGGGTGAGCCAGGGGTGGGGCTGAGGGGCTGATCCCTTAGAGCGAGGGCGCCCCTTGGGCGAGTGTCCTTAATCTTAACTTGGAATGCCCTGTCCCGTCTCTTCCCGCTCTGCAGGCAGCCTAGAACAGACAGGTTGGCATCCCTTCCTGGTTGGAGGTTTTGTTCTAATTGAAAGGACATGCCAACATTTGGGAAAGATCGAGGAATCCTATTGGGAATCCTCGGATGAACGCCTTGCGAGGTTGTTAGATATTGCCCATTTCGCTGAAAATCTGTATGGATCATTATCGGGACCGGCATTTTTTGGTTCAGTAATTTTATCGTATATAGCTGTGCACAGCAAAATGAGGTTTGGAAAGATTCACATCAAATGGGTATCTCTGAATTATGGGATTATGGTCATTGCAATATTTTCATTTTCTTTATCTAATTCCTATTCCTTTCTCAAACACAACGAACATATACTTTTACTGTATGGAAAAATTTTAAGTAAGAAATTGGAAATATCCTAATTTTAATATCTAGTTGAGATTCAGTTAATGGTTTGAGATTTCTAGCAAGGGAGATTAATTTTGAGTGTTTGGAAGGACATTTTCCCCCCAGCTATTTATGACCTCGATTCAGGAGAATATATTAAGTTTTTGGTTCAGTAGTTGAATTTTAGTGGAAACATGAGGGCATTTTATCTGTGGGTTTGTCAGAGGCTAAATAAATATTTGCAAAGATCTTAAATCTTGAGGTTTTACTTCTAACCCAGGTCAGGTTTTTCTAGCAAGGAATCTGTTTCAGGCAATTATCCTCCTACCTCAGACTTCCCTGAAAGTTGTCTTTCCCTTTGGTGCAATGTTAGATACTGTATATAAAAGAAAAATGAGGGTCGGGATTGGGAGGAGGGTGTGTGTGTGTGTGTGTGGGGGGGGGGAGACACAGCTGAGACAGCTGAGACAAAAATAAATTTAAAAAAAATGAAAAACTCAGATTTAATAATAGTTCTTCATATACGTAGAGGACAGACAGTAATGGGACTAAAAACATAATTTTGAGGGGCATATGTAAGGCACTGTGATAAAAGGTAAGTCTCTAGAGTTTGGGCACCATTTAGGTAAATATTAATTTTCATTACTTGGGAGATCATCAGCAATAATCAACAAATAGATTTTACATCGTGTTTCGGATCATTTGGCTTTCCTACAGATATCTGTGCCACCCGAATTGTTTGATCCAGTGAATCTGCAAGGAAAGGTCTCTGAGGCCCCCGTCTGCTGACTGCATGACAAACCCTAAAGGAAATGCCAATCGTGATGGCCCGGGACCTGGAGGAAATAGCATCATCCTCAGAGGATGAGGAGGTGGTAAGCCAAGAGTAAGTAATAGCCAGCCTCCTTTTGAACCTTTGCCTCTAGGATGGAAAATAATTCTCTTTTACTGATATACGTTCTTTTATCCAGTACCCTTCCTTTGCTATTGTCTGATTCTGGTTTTAGCTTCCATCCATGATCTTATTAAAGATCTTACTATTGGGTCCTTGTCTTAAATGAGTCAAGGCTGTGGATTTGTGAGTGAACTTGGCTCTAGATGTTCCAAGTAGTAGCTCTTGGTAAACTCCTGATTAGAGCTTCTAACATAGGAGATTTTGAAATATTTAGTTATTGAAGAACAGTATGTCTCCAAGCACTGTGACATTGGTTATGTTACTTTTTCAAAAACATTTACAGCAATAGAATGATGATAATACAGAGAGGTCAGGTGACTTATTAGAGTAATTGTGGTGCAGGACATTAGAATGCTATAGCCTTTTCTGTGTCTGTTGAACAACATTGCTTTTCTGAGTTCTTTTATGTAAGAGCCAAAGTACTTTTTTTTTTAATACTTAAAAAAAATTATTTTGATTTTATTTTTTAATCCTCACCCGAGGGTACTTTTCCATTTATCTTCAGATAGAGTGGAGGGGAAGAAGCAGGGGGAGAGAAAGAGAGAGACAGAAACTTCAATGGGAGAGAGACACATCGATTAGTTGCTTCCCTCACAACCTGGACCAGGGCCAGGGACGAACCGCAACCGAGGTACATGCCCTTGCCTGGAATCGAACCTGCTACTCTTTGGTCTGCTGGCCGATGCTCTAACCACTGAGACAAACCAGCCAGGGCAAAAATAATTTTGTTTTAAATTGATTTTGAGAGAGAGAGAGAGAGACATTGATTTGTTGTTCCACTTATTGATGCCTTCATTGGTTGCTTCTTGTATGTGCCTTGACCAGGGATTGAACCTGCAACCATGGCCTATCAGGACTACACTCTAACCGACTGAGCTACTCAACCAGGGCCAAGAGCCAAAGTTCTTGATTGCTGGATTCTCAAAATAATAAAAATATAAATGCTAGTGCTAAGTATAGCTGCTGTAGATGATAAGGGCTTTAACTACTGTATTTCATTTAATCTGAAGCTGTTATTATTCTCACTTTATTAAACTTATCCTCACAAATACCAAAGTACATCCTCAGGGATGTGTAGAGAATAAGTGATGGATTGACATCCAGAACTAGTTTTACTGAATTAAAAAAAAAAATCTTTAATGATTTTAGAGAGAGAGGAAGGGAGAGGAAAAGAGCGAGATAGCAACATCAGTGAGAAAGAACATTGATTGGCTGCCTCCTGCATACCCCCCACTGGGGATTTGGCCCACAACTTGGGCATGTGCCCTGACCAGGAATCGAACCAATGACCTCTTAGTGCATGGGTCGATGCTCAACCACTGAGCCACACCAGCTGGGCATAGTTTTATTGAATTTTGAAGCACTTTGCTATTTTGCCTCCTTTAACCTTATTACTTGACACAGAGAGCAAAGAGAAAAACTGGCTTCTAATTAAGATGAGCTTTTAAGATTTTCTGCAAGTCCCCTTGGATATGTGCTGTATAACCTGGAAAATGGGGATATCATCTCCTAGGCTATTTTGTAGAAGTGTGGTTAGGATCAAATAGGATAATGTTTATGAAGTTATTTTGTAAATTATAAAATGCCATACATATAAAGCATTATTCTTACTTGCTTTAATATTGAAATTAAAGTGGCTTTCTTATTATAAAGTGGACGCTTTCATTATTTAATAGTGTAACTTGACAAAATTATTGAAACTTAATAAAGCTTTGGATAAAGACTGCTCATCACTGTTTGGTTGTAGAAAATGATAGAGATTTGATCTTGTACTTGGGTCATTCTCATTCAGGATAATTAAATGGATAGTTCCCTCTGGCCACTTTGACTCCTTATGGGAGAGAGACACATTTCACAAAATTTTAACTTGCTCCAAGCATCAGTCTTTCCGATTTCAAAATCATTCTTTTACTCCATAAGTATCTCTCCTTAGTGGGCTTAGAGGTTGGGCTGACAAGTATTAGGTTGAACTGCATGAAATTGTACTTTTGGTAGGTCAAAACAGTCAAATATTGACAATTTCAGATGGTTCAACCTAGTATTATTGTAGGTACCCAGTAAATACTTGCTTACTGAGTGAGTGAACGAATAAATGTATAATTTAGATCACATGTTCTTAACCTTTTAATGCTGGATCCCTAGTCAGAATAATTTTTAGTGCTTAAAATAAAATACAGATCATTGAAAAAGACCAGTTACAGCCCTGGCTGGTTTGGCTCAGTGGTTGGAGTGTCTGCCCACGGACTTGAGAGACCCGGGTTCAGTTTCCGCTAAGGGCATGTACTTTGGTTGCAGTTTGTCCCCGGCCCCGTTTGGAGTTGTATGGGTGGCAACTACTCGATGTGTCTCTCTCACATAGATGTTTCTCTCTCTTTTTTCCTCCCCATCTCCCTCCCGCTCTGTCTGAAGATAATTGCAAAAGTGTCCGGGTGAGGATAAAAAAAAAACCACCCAATTACATTGAAATGCAGTTATAAAAATTAAAAAAAAAATTTACTTGTGATCCGGTAATTTGTGCTTTCTTATACATTATTTACTTTTGTGTTTTATTTTTTTCTTGTTTCTTTTGTGCTTTCTTATATATTAAATAAGATTATTTAAAACATGGGAAAGTTAAATTTTATTTTCTAATAGCAGCGTGAAGACTGTTTTTGCTTAGTTTGCATGAGATCATTATATTGTAGGGTGGTCTTTGATTAACACTTGGAAGTGGGGAATACTTGTGTGGCCCAGTGGAATGACCATCATCTCATGGACTGAGAGGTCCTGGTTCGATTTCTGGTCAGGGCACATGCCCGAGTTGCAGGCTCCATCCCCAGTTGGGGGCACGCAGGAGGCAGCCAATCAGTGTATCT